CATGTGATCAGATCTGGGACTACTCAGACTGAGACTTCATTTCAGAAGCCAGTTTGCACCAGAAGCAGTACAGTTTAGAAATCAGTGTCAGTATGCTGCAGTGTACAGCATACTGACACTGCAGTCTTTATTGAGTCAATGTTCAATAATGTATTAGACATGGGGCCCTCAAACTAAGGCCCGAGGGCTGGATACGCCCTCCAAGGTGATTTACCCGGCCCTCGCTTAGGGTTAACCTAAGTCTGAAATGACTTGAAAGCACACAACAACAACAACATTGAAATACTAATACGTTTATATTTGTTAAAATCGTTCTTCATTTTAATTAGTGTATTGTTTTAAAGTGGGGGTTTTTTTTTGCACTACAAATAAGATATGTGCAGTGTGGATAGTAATTCATTCATGATTTTTTCAAATTATAATCCAGTCCTCCAATGGTTTGAGGGACTGTGATCTGGCCCTCTGATTAAAAATGTGAGGACCCCTGTTTTAGACTGAAGAGATTGTTTGTGTGCAACAAAGAAGAGACTAAAATACAATGTTTTAGAAAACTTATTGTTTGAACTCTCAATCAATAAGAAATTTACCTCTATGCTGAATACATGAAGTTTGTAAGTAAATCAACTATGTTACTTTTAACAAATACTACTTATTTTTGGTCTATTGTGAGCATGATTTAACAGCAATATATTTTATGGGAGATTATATTATTTTTGGACAACTGAAATAGCACTTCTGAAGATCTGCTATATATTTTGTGTACTGGCATATCTTTGTTCCTAGCAGTTCAGAGAGATAACCAGGTATACCAGTCTAACAACTGAGAAGCCTAATTTACCTTGCATGAATACTAGGGTATATTTACCACTAAGGAGAAGATTGACTCAAACAAATATTTAAGGAAGGTCATACTTTACAAAAGGTTATGAATATTCTAAATAGTGTGAATGCCAATTAATCTTTGAAGGGGTAATGATTCCAAAACGCTACGGAGATTCCTGGTTTATCAAAAAGTTATGATCTCTAAAAGGCCACGACTTTCCAAAACTTTTATTATTATTTATATGGTGCTTTTCTCTCTTAAAGAGACTCAAAGTGGAACTAATACTATTAGCTCTTATTTTTTAAAAATCAATATCTTTGGGAGACACTCTTTCCATAATGATTGAATAACTTCATCTGAAGAAATAGTGTTATAGCATAAGAATGAACTGATCCCAAAATCTTCCTGATCAATCAAATGTTTGGGTAACCACAATGACTGCCATCTCAGCAAGGTTTGTATAGCACCTGGCATAAAATTACAAGGGAAAAGTTTGCCACAGTTTTATACTGACACCAGTTAGCTTATGATTCTTGCACTAAAAGGTAGCTTGACAAATGCCGCTTTAAGTTGAAAGGCAGTTACTTGCAACATCTTCAATCAGTCTCTTGTGAGTATGAAACTTGTCCCCAAACTGGCTTTGCCATAGACATGAGAGCATATTAAAGTACAGAAAAGCATTTTAGAGATTAAAAAGCTTGGAATGAGGGAAAAATACAGCCCCTAAAGCACATCTCTTAGGGTTTGTAGCAAGGAAGAAAGTAAGACATCTCTGTGGGGAATTCTAGCAGCTTTAGTAGATGGAAAATAAAAGTGCACCTGAAGGAAGAAAAAAGCTTATTTTTTCAGCTGAAGTACTCTCTGCTTATCTCACAGAAGATTGTACTCTGTGGTCATAGAAAAATAAGCACGGGGTTTGGCAAAATTGGCAGCTCTCTCTAGGGAAGGCAGAATGAACTAACTAACTGAAGGGAGAAAATTGAAACTTTTTTTAGAGATAAGGAAGGAAGGTATTGGGCCGGCAATCAATTGTGCAAACCTATTTACACTGCAGGAACAATCTGTCTGTTTGGAAAGACCACAGTATTTAAGGGTTACCCAATCGATCTCTTAACAAAACAGATTAGGAAGGATGAGTGGTTTTGTAAGATTTTAATTTCAGGAAAACTGTAGTGTTTCTCTATAACAACAACAACAACAACTTTATTTTTATACCCCGCCACCATCTCCCGAAGGGGACTCGGGGTGGCTTACAAAGGGACAAGCCTGAGGATTACAAATAAAACAAACACATTAAAATAAAATCAACAACAGTAATCAAAAAATATATCACAATCTCAAAGCAACATCATAAAAACAGTATTTTGGCAGAGACAAAATTGAGGCTGAGTTTGGACTCAAAGTAAGTGCACTGGTTCCTAAACAGAGCCAAAAGAAAGTGCAAAAATTCAAAAGGGCCAGCCTACATGGGTAATAATCTTAGCTGTAAAGTGTCAAGGTTACTGGAAAGAGGGCCAAATTATAGCATATTATGAAGTGTCTTTCCCCCAGGCAGGAATCACCTAGACTTTGAGGCTGCAAGGCCATTCAATGCTAATCAAGGTGCCCAATTGCCTCACATTTGCCTCAAGCAGACAAGAGTTCTTTCTCCCACCCTGGACATTCCACAGATATATAAACCTCACTTGTCTAGTTTCTAAACAGACCTCACAACCTCTGATGATGCCTACCATAGATGTGGGTGAAACATCAGGGGAGAATGCTGCTGGAACAGCCCAGAAAACTCACAGCAACCCAGTTATGAACACTGTTAACTATTCTTTGTAAATGGAATGCCCAGAACAATAAATCAAGTAACTATATAATGAGTGTGTGCATGCACGCGCATACACACACACTTTTTTTTCTTATCCGGATACCTTTCCAACCCTAAGACAGAGCATCGTATGGACCTCAGGGGACAGTAGAAAGGCACTTTGAAAAATCACATCCTCCCTGTTCTTCTTTCCAAACATTAAACCAGAACTTTCTAAACATTTCATGTTGGTGATACACTTTTTTAGACATATATCATTCCATGACACAACCATTAAGTTTTATTAGCAAACTGGAGGTTAAACTAACCCCTTATAGGAGATATGGGTATGTACAAAAATTCTAATAATGTAATATATGAGGCCACAACTTATGTCATGAAAAACTTTCATTTATATTTTTAAAATTGTGTGTTTTGTAAGATAACAACAAATATTTTGGAATCTTTCGTCATTTCTCATTATGTTTGCGTGACACATCTACACAATGCAGCTGTGTCATGACACATCGTTTGGAAAGCTCTGTATTAAACCAACAGCTAATAAGGAATATTCTATTATTGTAGTAAGCACAGCTTTATCTCTCTAGTGATACGAAGGCTGGATCTACACTGTCATATAATCCAGTTTCAGAATGCAGATTCACTGCTTTGAACTGGATTATATGACTCTACACTGCCATATGATCCAGTTCAATGCAATTAATCTGCATTCAGAAACTGGATTATATGGCAGTGTAGATGGGACCTATGAATTCATCACTAGCAACATAATTGTCTAGACCTGAGCTGGGGAACAGAGAGCTTCGCTGGTAAAATGGACTCTATGAGTCAAAAACAGACATGAAGCCAAATGGGGATTCAATTAGGCTCTTCTGGGATTGTTAATGGGACGAAGAAATTGATGTGGCAGACCAGGCACAGATTTTGCTGTCCCCTTTTCTGCACATATTCTCCTGGGGTCCATCTACACCATACAATTGTAGTGTTTTTATTCCACTTTAAGTGTCACGGCTCCATCCTACAAAATTTTACAACTGGAAGTTTAGAGAGGAGCATTTACAATTTGTCTATGTTGTTGCGTGTCCAAAAACTACAAACCATAGGATTCCATAGGATTGAACCAAGCCAGTTAAAAAGGAATAACAGTGCTATAAGTCTGTAATGTGAGTGAGGCCCATGCTTCCTGTTGCTGATGACGAGTAAGAGCAGGAAAATAACAGGACCAAGAGGATAGTGGACTTACAGGAAAAAATTAGGATGGGATGGGGTCGTGGTAGTGCAGAACATTAAACTGCCAGCTGCAGGAAATCTGCTGACTGGAGGGTTGGCAGATTGAAGCGACAAGTTGGGGTAAGCTCCCGCTGTCAGCCCTAGCTTCTGCCAAACTAGCAGTTTGAAAGCATGTAGATCAATAGGTACTGCCTCTATGGACAACAGGCTCCTTGGCATGGAAAAATGGAAAAGGAGCACCTCCCCATGGCCAGAGTTGAGTATTGCCTCCAGATGCCTGAGATGAACAGGGGAAGGCCTTTACCTTTGTCTGTGTACTGTATGTTGCTGTTATTGTGCAAAAGGCACTGGATATTTGCCTCATATGTGTATATTCTAATGCGCTCCAAGTCCCTCTGGGGAGATAAAGTGGAATATAAATAAAATGTATATAAACTGGAACCTCTAGAATACTACCATTTTTTTGTTTAAGCAAAAAGGGAGAAGAAAATAAGAGGGAGTCAAATCAAAATATACAGATTTTTTTTTATTCTTTAGATACTATCAGATGTTTTCAAAGAGCGCCTTCTATTTCTACTTTTAAGCCAGTTTATTTCCACTTGAACGTGATGTTGAAAGCCAAGCTATGCCTGGCCAAGGAATGAAGATTTTGCAGAACATTTTAACAGCTTCATCTGGTAACCACACCTCCAAGTTTTAAAATGTGCCAAGCAAATGGGCCAGTTCTCAAGACAGAAACAGCAAGGCACATCAAAGGAATGAAAGTATTTCAGGACTTCATCATATATCAGTTAATGCTGATTGCTGCAGAAGAACAGGCACATTAGATGAATTCTAAGATCAAAGAGGCTGTTTCGACTGACTTATCACTACTGGAAACTGATGTAACTGATGGCAGGACAGACAAGATATACAGAAAACAAATGGAAGTGGCTATAAACCACAACAGACTTTTACAAGACATGCTGGAATAAATAACTACCTAGATAAAATCATTATCCCAAGAAATAATCTGTCTGTCATGAAACCTCAAATTACAAATGATGCAGCAGCTTCAAGGAAGCATAACATTCAGTTGCTATGATACCTTACTCTCTGTAGCAACTTACACAAAACAGGTGTCTTACTTACCAGAGTTTAAGTCACGGCCAGGATTGAATGCTCTGCTGTTCACAGTAGTAGACAGTCTATCACAGCTAATTGTTCTAGATACATTGGTGTTAAAGTTTCCATCAAATCTGAAACAGATACAAAAGGAAGATGAATAAAATAAGAAAATCTGATTCTGTCTTTTAAGAACAGACTCTTTGAGTTCTTTAGACACCGCAGTGGTGCAATGGGTTAAACTGTTGTGCCACTGAACTTGCTGACCTGAAGGTTAGTAGTTCAAATCCTTGGGTCGTGGTGAGCTCCCACTGTAACCCCAGCTCTTGCCAACAGTTCAAATACATGCAAAATGTGAGTAGATCAATAGGTTCCGCCTCTGCGGGAAGAAGGCAAACAGGCGCTCCAAGCAATCATGCCGGCCACATGACTAGGAGGTGTCTACAGACAACACAGGCTCCTCGGCTTGGAAATGGAGATGAACACCCTCTCCAGAGCTGGAGTTAAGCACCAGTTCCAGACACGAAGATTAAAGGGGAAGCCTTTGCCTTTGAATTTCTGTCTCATTGTATCAAGGCATTGAAGGTTTTCCTGTGTTTGTGTTTGTATATATGCTGTAATCCACTCTGAGTCCCCTCAGGGAGATAGGGCAGAATGTAAATAAAGTGTTGTTGTTGTTGAAAGACAGTTTTATTTTTGTTCTTCCCATTAGCCCCAACTGCAGTCTAGCCTGGTTAATCTTCTAATTGAGCAAACAGCTCAGGACCCTTCTACACTGCCGTATAAAATCTAGTTTATCTGCTTTGGACTGGATTATCTGGCAGTGTAGACCCATATAATCCAGTTCAAAGCAGATAATGTAGATTATCTGCTTTGATAATCTGGATTATAGGGCAGTGTAGAAGGGCCTCAGATAGTTGTACAATAGTTGACACATATAAATGGAAATTACAATCTAACTTGAAGGATCTGACAGGTATGCCTCTATCCACTACAATGTATGAAGGCACAATTTAAGTAACAATTATATGTGTCATTTTGAAAGGAGAAGGCACAGATTTTTAATGTTAATATTGCAGAAAGAGGTCTTGATCTAATCAGAATCCTATCACACAGAGGTTTAAACGCTTGCTCTTCTGTTTCCTATGGGCTTTGGTTCTGATCACTCATTCCTCTTCATGTGTACAATCTGCATTGAGTAAAATCTATTTGTTCAAATGAGAGGATTTTCCCTCCAAATCATATTAAGAGATAGAAGGAGCATGAAAATTGGGGCCACAGCATGAGGGCTGAAGGGCTTTAATTCTCTGCTACTTACTGTGATTCCTGTCTAGATCAGGAATGCCATGCCCACCATTTGCAGTGGGAAAACCTCTAAATTTTCTGTGTTTTCCAGTGGAACACTTCAATTAGTTATGAACTGTGCCAGGCTAAAATTCAATCAAGGGAAGACAAGGCAGACATGACTTTATTGTATCTTTAAAATGTGGAACATCAAGAATATTCTCTCTCTCTCTCTCTCTCTCTCTCTAATTAAATTAAACATCTAATTAAATAGCAAGTCTCAACATTCAATCATTTTTGGTTCGATATTGAAGTATAGATAGATACAAGTAGTTTCTAGTCCTCTTCTATTTCTTGCTCTTCAATGATGCCCAATGAAACTACAAAGAAGGACAACATTAATATTCTCAAGCACGTCTGGCGGGGACGAGAGATAGGGCTTTCTCGGTGGTGGCTCCTCGGCTGTGGAACGCCCTTCCTACCGACATTAGACTAGCACCATCTCTAATGGTATTCCGCAAAAAAGTGAAGACCTGGCTGTTTGAGCAGGCGTTCGAATAATGAGTGCAATGATTGGTTAATGAACACTGGAATGGATCAATGGATGACGAATCTGGATCATGTTTTGATGATGAGATGATAGTGAATGGCTATTGTAGAAATTGTTAATTGTTAATTGTTTATTAATTGGGTAATGTGTTAAGTTGTTAACTGTTTTTATACTGTAACATTGAATTCTGCTGTCTCTTATTGCTGTGAACCGCTGTAAGTTGCCTTCGGGCTGAGAACAGCGGTATATAAGTAAGGCAAATAAATAAATAAATAAATAAATAAATAAATAATATATCTTATTTTGCAGCATCCTACCCTACGAAATCTATGGGGTTGCCATTCATGGATCAACAGGTAGTTTGAAGGCACATAAGAGACAGCTAAGAAAATTGTGTCTTATTTTATACTGTTAATGAATGATTCACACATTGTGATGAGTGCTATGTAAGAACATAGTAATTGAAAGGAGATGTTTGCCCAAAAGCTAACCAAGATGATTAAAAGTGTTGGTTTCAAAGACTGCATGTCCCTGTATGAGCCATCCCTAAGATCCCCAGGGAAAGGTTTTCTCTTGATTCCAAGACCATCACATGCTTATTAGGCAGGACATAGGAAGAGGCTTTCATAGGATGGATCTTCACTGCCCTGTAATCCAGTTTTTGAATGTGGATTAACTGCATTGATGGGATTATAGGGCAGGACAAACTGATATAATCCAGTTCAATGCAGATAATCCTCTTTCTGAAACTGGATTATAGTGCAATGTAGATCCAGGCTCAGTGGCCAACCACAGGCTTTAGAACACCCTTCCATGGGAGGAGTGGTTGGCCCTCTAACCGTTCCATTTTCCACCAGTTTAGGCAGGCACTTTGAATTATTTTTAAATCATATGATGGCAGTATGGTGATATTTTTGTGGTGAGCTTTTATCCTTTGTTTTTATGTTTTTAAACTATTTTAAACTGTTTTAACTATCTGTTTTAATAGTATTTTGTATTTTTTTAAAAACACTTGTAAAATAAATTTTATTTAGCTTCTATTTTAAATTCTGAGTAGGAGAAAAGTAGGACATAATTGAAATAATAAGTACAATAAAAGAAATAATATTCATGCTTACTCAGAGATACATAACACTGAGTTAATATCTTAACTTTATAGGGATTTTCTGTTACCACTTAAAAAATGAAATGCTCCAGAGCAGTGGTTCTCAACCTGTGGGTCCCCAGGTGTTTTGGCCTATAACTCCCAGAAATCCCAGCCAGTTTACCAGCTCTTAGGATTTCTGGGAGTTGAAGGCCAAAAACATCTGAGGACCACTGCTCCAGAGGATCTCCTGTATGCATTCAGGCTGCCTCTCAACATATGGCAACCACCTGAATTTCAAAGGGTTTTCTTAGGCAAGGAATTTCTTTTTATGAAACATATTCTGCAGCACTCCTTCTTAAATTGTGGGATCCCAATCCCAAACGTCATCCCCTTACTTCAACGTTGGGGTCAACAAAAAAGTAAAACATTTCTGAATGTCACCTAGACATTCAGGAGCCCCTGGTGAAGCAATGGGTTAAACCCTTGTGCCGGCAAGACTGCTGGCCAAAAGGTCGGCGGGTCAGCTCCAGCTTCCCATACAGGGACATGAGAGAAGCCTCCCATAGGATGGTAAAACATCTGCGCATCCCCTGGGCAACATCCTTGCAGACAGCCACTTCTCTCACACCAGAAGCAACTTGCAGTTTCTCAAGTTGCTCCTAACGCGAAAAAGAAAACTTGACATTTACATGAATCTGTTAGCAACAACATACAGTGTTCACAGTGAACTGCAGAAAAGGTTTCAGCTTGTTTAATAAGCCTTGCAAATGCTGATTTAAGTATGAATAAATTTTTGATTTATATACCTGTTGTATATACTTATACACCCAGGATCATGTAAACATTTCTTGAGCAGGAAGGGATTACACATGGAAAAATAGTTGCTGATTTCCCAACCAAGTGCTAACCAGAGCTGCTTAATCTCCAAGATTGGACAGGATCTGGTGTCCTTAGGGTAATTAGGCTATTTTCTGCCAATAAATGCCCCTAAAATAATAAATGTATATATGTATAATATGTATATATGTATAATATGTCCACTACCTCATGGATACTGCATCCATCATCTATATATTTAGGGGTATTTATTGGCACACAATAAATGTGCCAATTGCTTCTGTCTAACAATTGTTCAATCACCTATCAGTTTTACTTTACAGGTGCTCACTTGTGGCTTTCAAATGTACATTTTAACTGAAATAACCACATGAGGATGAGTGGAACTCTTTAGCGCTTCTTCCCTCCGGCATTTTTCTCCTTGTGAAAAAGGAGACAATGTGAAAAAAAAAAGACTCATATATGCAGACAGTATTTCCACACAATCTGGACACACTGAATTTCTCTCCATGAGAAAGTTGCTCTTCATGTGCAGAGATTGACTGAAGCAACATGGCAGGAGGCAGGACTAGAGCATTCCCATAGGCTTATTTTATCTCCTTTTCCTGCCACTGAAAAAGATCTAATGAAATAATACCTATGGTCCATATTTTAAAAATGCAAAATTGAATTTTCAATCTCCAAATAAACAAACAATACGTTCAAGCCATGCAGCAAAGAAAGGGAATGGTGTTGTCTAACTAGTTTCCCTATCTTTGTAACACAAAATAATGTGGGTAATACTCACACAAATTTCAGAACCTGATTTTTAATAACAATTCTGGCAAGTTAACTTGTTGCTCTGGAAAATGTGGTTCTACCATCAGAAAAGATCGAAACGTGATCTTAACATTAACTCTAAGAGAGACAAACACATTCCCACCCGCTCCAACCTTCTTCTTTCTCTCTTTCCCTTTCTATATTATATGAAAACCCTTCCTTCTGGATTCACTTTAATGAACAACTGATCGAAACTGCATCCCAAGGGAGAAAACAGAACTGTGACTCCCACTTTGATCTCTTCCCCATGGAGAAATTCGCTCCCTGCCTAGCTTGCAAGATGTTCATTTGATTGACGTTTGCTCTGATGTGCAAACTGCTTTGAACTTCAGACATTTAATTCCCATCAGGCAGCAGTCATTTTTATTCTCCTTCAACAGGATTTACAAGCAGAAGATCAGCAAATGTAGAAGATAAAATAAATTTGCAGAAGCTTTGAATCTTACATCAAAACAGTGTTCAAGTAAGCTCCAATTGGATTTCATTCAGCCTCTATTCACAAAGTAAATCAACTTCTATGTGGTTTCAGTTTTGGAAAAATGAAAAAGAGGGAGAAT